GGAGAAGTCCCAGACGGAGCAGAGAAGGGAAACTGGAATTGAGCAGAGCTGCGTAGGAAGGCAAGAGCCAGGCTAGATCAACTTGGTATTTTTATGAAAACCGTTTGAAATTAGTCAAACAACAAAAAACAAATAATTCCTTTTAGTTGGTTTTTCTATTCATTATTTAAATATCACTAAATGTTATTTTATTTCTTGTTGACCCTCTTAGTTTGAAGCTGATCAGTCCACTAAGTTTCAACAGTTGGCAAAAAAAAAGGCGAATCTGCTAAATGGGAAGCTATTTCCTAAAATAGCAAATTAGTGAACTGTGCCCACCACTGTTGGAAACACACATCTTTATTTATTTATTTATTTTAAGGGGGAAAAGCTGAAATATTTGGGAACCACTGAACGGGATGGTTGAAATGTGGTTGTTCAATGATCCCACACAGAACAAAACCAGCTTTAGAACTAATAATAAAGATGATCTTCATTGTTGTTGTTTTACTTTTGGCTGCTCATTTCTACAGGAGTTGCCACAGTGAGCAAACATTTAGAAGATTTGACAACTGTTTTACTCTGAATGATCTTGATGCAATCTGCGCTTGAACCCACTAACAAGACCACAACAAAGACTGAGCTACTGTAAGCAGTGGATGTATGTACTGTATATATTTTAATCTTGTATGATTCTGAAAAAATCTGCAACAAATTTTACTATGTGGACCCAATTCTTATTTTTACAAATCACTAAGGTTGCACCTTGTATAATTATTCCAACGTGGAAAATGAATGCTTCAAATAAATCAATAAAAGTCCAGAATTAAGATGACATTTTTAAAATGTTGAGAGCATGCGTACTTCTGTGTCTCAACTTTATCCTTTTGATGCCAGATATGTTCTTGCCCTTTGCACCTCATCYCTTTCTGCATAATTTACCTCTGCGCTCTCCTAAAAGGATTCCTACATACATGTTTATGCCGACACACAAAGACACTCCATATACGTGGCGGCGCAGAAGCTTTTAAGTGCTCTCCTGCCCTCTGACGTCTTCCTTTTCATACCAACAAAGTAAAAACATACATCCGATGTCCATGTGAGTAATGGAGTCTGCCTCATTTTTCCTAGGATACTCACAGGGAGGAAATGGAGCTCCATTCTCAGCGTGTTCRCATGCTGACCTTTGCCCTTGCTTTGCAATCTCGAGCCACAAATGGCTCGCAGAGACATTCAGTACTGCATGAATTGGTATCAGCATGGAGACGGGGATGTTTTGATCTGGAAGCATCACTTAAGGCTTTTTGCCGTCTTATTTTGCCCGTGCTCTTTTCCCTTTTTTTTGTGTGTGTGTGTGTGTGTGTACTGACTGTATTCAAAGCACTCAAATATAGAGCGCAGAGTGAACAACAAAGCTGCACTTACCCAAGTCTGTGTAATGTGATTTGCAGAGCTGCTTTTGTCCGCCAAAACACAACTCGAACTGAGGCTCGTTTGACCTGCGTAAGGTGTGTCCGTTCTCAAGGGCGGCGAAGGCGTCACAAGTGTAGCGGTACGTGATGAAGCCGAAATTGTCCCTGAACGGGAAGAGAAAARGACGCGTCAGTTTGTTGCTGTGGGGGAACAGTGACTCAACAGAAAGGCCTCGTCTTAGATGACGATCAYGCTATTTATATGCAAAAGAGAATCAATAAAGGCATATCAGTTGAGTCTCCGCGAGCATAAAAGTCGAGGAATCAGGAGAYGCTGCGAGACTGCAAATATCGGTCCCTGTCATTGGTCTTAAAGTTTAGCAGGTCAAACCGATTTTTGTCAAAYGCAATTTATAGCTATAGAATGTAAACCTGTAAACTACTTACGACCATCRAAAAGTGATACGATTAGCATTAAAGGCACAGTGTGTAGGATTTGTTGTTTTCAGCGACATCTAGTGGTTGAGTGGTCGAATCATCCTCCCTGGTCCTCCCCCCACCCCCACCCCTGCTTCCAAACACAAAGGAGTTGCTACGGTGTCTCTCAGGTGTCAAAAACCTTTAATTCCAACTGCGATGTCTACCAGCAGCTTCAGGGCTAGTGATGTTTCAAGTGGTAACATTATGAGTTTTAATAAGTAAAATTATCCCAGCTACAATGACAGAACAAATATTACATTTATAATATTACAAGTAAAACTGTTTTTGACGCCGCCACCGCAGTTTGTCCTTCATGAGC